TTACATGTTTCTTTAGGGCAGTTTATCATATTTATTTAATTTATTACTCAAAAATAAACCAATCAGTAATTAAGATTTAATAGCAACCAATTAGATAATTTAAATTAAACATTAATGATCAATTGGATTTTAACCTTATTGATACTCGACTATAATTATAACTAGTTGATTATTATTGAACATATAGTTTCGAATTTTTTAAAAAAGTGTTCATCAGGTTGGGTACCCGATTGAATATCGTTCTATCTGTAAAGATTAATTACATTTTCCATTATATTCTGCTTAATGAATTTGACTTTAAAAGTTTCAAGCATTTCATCATAAGCAAAAAAATGTCTTTTTTATCTTTTTATCATCATTAATTTTAATAGAGTCTACATAATGTAATTTTTCTTCTATTTTAGAAAATTTTACTAAAAGACTGAGAAAATGGTATACAGAATTAGTATAATGAGTTTTAACTGCTAAAGCAAATAATTCACTAAATGCAGCTAAAGCATTCATTTGTAAATCATAGTTTTTAACTCAAATATCAATACAGTGAGCTTTAAATATTTCAGCCCATTGGTTTTAAAGGTATCAAATTTGAAATACCAAATTTGTATTATTATTTACCTAAATCTCATCTTTATTAATTTCTTTTTTTTAATGTAAATTCATATTGTTAAGGCTACAGCAGTTTATATTTATTCAAGAATATGAACAGTAGATCTATAATCAATAACAGATTCTAACTTTTCTAAAAATTTAATATCAAGCTAATTCATAAGATCAAAAATACTATAACTTGAAAAAAAAATAATTAAAATGCTGCACATATCTTTAGAAATATGCTATTGATCAAGAATTGGGTGTAATTAAGGTTATTTATCTATTTATTTAATCATTCTTTGAAAATTGCTTCATCACTAATTTTGTTTAAATATTCTTCTGATTTTAATTCTTTAGAATTTCTAAAAACTATTCAAGAATATTATGATAGTTTATCTAAATTTTTAAATGATTTCTTTTTTAGAGTAATTAATGAATTGTATCAAAAAAAACAACAGTATGTAACTGGTAATGAAGACAGTATTACTTATTACTGAAAACTGTAACTTCTGAACTAATAACAAAAACTATAATATTTATTATATCAATATTATTAGGATTAGCTTTTCTTTGAAAATTTTGTTATCTCAAATTTTAGCTAGTCTTGATTATATGTCAAGCTTACTGGATTCTTTTAGACAGTTATTAACAGTTTATCATATAAGTTTACACAGTTATAAACATAAACAAAAACTTGTAAAAGCTTGAATAGAAAAATTAAACTCATCAAAAACGTTTAATTTGAGCTAATAATATATGAAATTCAGCAATAATTAATAACATTGATTTTATGAAGAAGAGTTTCAAGTTTAAGAATATATATAACATTATATACAATAATTCATATACCATTCTGAGGATGGCTTTTCAAGCTCAATTACCAATCAAAATAGAAACTGATCTAAAACAAGTTATTGAATTAACTGCTGATACATTATTGTTTGAAATGAATTAAATTATTGATTAAATATTAAATATATTTCAGAAGGTTATTTATGAATTATTAAATTTTAAAGAAGTTGATAATGAATTAAATTACAAAACAAATTTTAATTCAAAAACTATTAAATGTTTTATCCTAAACTGTAAAGGTTCGAAAACAAATTTGCCTGCTTATTTACTATAAATTCTCTTTTAATTTACTTTTATGAAAAATTAAAATTTTTAAAAACTTTTTTTTTAAATTAATTTTATAAATATATATAAAATTTTTATTTTTTAATTATATAATAATAATTTAAGGTTACTTATAAGCTAAAAATTTGTAATTTTTAAAAAATTTATAAATTAAAAAATTTTATTATTAACCCTTTAATCATCTATTAACATTTACTTTTAGTAATATTAATCATAATAGAATATTATAAAATTTATCACTAAGAAATTTTATGATTTTTATTAAAAGTAAGTAATTTAATTAGTTCACAAATATATGAATTTTAAGAATAAATATTTCAAAACTTAATTTTAAAAATTAAATTATTTAAAAAACTTCTTAATAAACTTAAATTTCTTTTATTAAAGTTGATAAAATATAAATTAAACTATATTTTTTATATAATAATTATATTATTAACATTAATATTTTATTATTTATTAAAAAATTAATACTTTTTTTTATATTTTCAGGTAAATTTGCCTGCTATACAATTTAAGGAATAAGGATTTACATTTTATTATAGTATAAACACCTTTTACTAAATCAAAATTAATTCCATAGGATCTTTAACTTCTACAAAAAAAGAAAATAAATATATTATAATAGCTATTGATTATTTTACTAAATAGTCAGAAGCAAAAGCTATAACAGAAGCCAGTACCTCTCAAGTATTTCAATTTGTTTATAAAGAAATTATTTGTAGATATGAATATCTCATGAAAATATTAACTGAACGAGAAACTTATTTTAATAATAAATAGTTGATAAACTAATAGATAAATTCAAGATAAAACATCTTTTTTGATCTCTTACCATTTCTAAACAAATGGTTTAGTAGAAATTTAATAGAACTTTATGTGAACTTTTAATCAAAATTGCTTAAGAAATTTTAAATTAGAATTTGCAAATTACATTTACTTTATTTACATATATAACTTCTAAATTGTTTACAACAAAGATATTTCCTTTTATCTAACATATAAAAAGAATAAATAATTATTCCTGAATGAACTAATTGAAGAAAATGTAACTTTAAATCAATATATAGAATCATTAATAAATAATCTACTACAAATTAAGAGAAAAGCATATAAAAAAATCATAAGTAAATCAGAAGGATTAACATGATTGCAGTTTAAAAAAAGATTTATTATTTTAAATAGAAGATAAAGTTTTGTATTACTATATGACAAAAGAAAAGTAATAGTCTGAAAAATTAGAACTAAAATAGAAAAGATCATATTATATTCATTAAATCTTACTAAATGGATTTTACAAAATAAGAAAAATAAATGGGAAAGTTTTGCAAATTCCTGTTAATAAAGATCTTTTAAAACAATATTATGATCAATAAAGTTAAGAACCTCAAATAGTTATATAGTTTATTTATTATTTTTTTTATTTTTTTTTTTACTATATCTTTGGAAGATTTTAAAGTTGATTTGAAAAAAAATATTTTTAATAATATACTTCTTATTATACCTTTCTTATAAAAAAAATATGAAACTAAAAAAGAAGTTTGAAATACCTTATCAAATGTTAAAAAGAGTTGTAATCTTTAAAAAATCTTGTATTGATAATAATAAATGTCTTTTACTTAGGAGAATTATTAGAAAAGAAACTTCTACTCCAGCCTAATATACTTATTTTAACTAAATATTATTACATAATATCAATATGAACTGTTTATATCTTTGAATTTTTGGAAGTAAAACAAATTCAGCAGACTCAATATATAAGTCTTTTTAAAATTTACTCTTTGAAAAAGAATGATTATCAATTCTTAATAAATGAATTATGTTGATTTGATTTAAAAACTAAAATTTAAGAAAGGAAATTGAAATGGTAGAAACTAATAAACCTAACTAATATGATATATTTGCTAAATAAAATATATTTATTATTTATATTATTTATATTATATTTATTATTATTATTATTTATTTTATTATTAGTATATCTGTTAATATTATTATTATTATCAATAGTATTATGATTATAATTATTATCATAAATTTTCTTTAATTGTAATTTTCTTATATAAAGAGCATAAATATACCTTGAAAAAAGGTGATTTTAACATTATATTCAAAAATACATCTAATAACAATAATAAACAACATAATATTTTGCAAATATAAAAACTTATAATTTTATTCTTGTTAATTAAATGAACTTTCTAATTAACATCATGTTAAATTGATTGGAATTAAGTCATAGCTATTGTTTTCTTGACTTCAAATCATAATTAACTTATTTAACAAATAGAGTAATGTTAACAATATATAATTAATCAAAATTATATTTTTATATCATCTAAATTCTCATTTTATTATATGCACTTGCTTTTATATTAAATAAGCTATTTCTTATTTTTTAATTTTATAATAATTTTTATAAGATTTGATATTTAAAAATTTAATAAAAATTATTATCATATAATTTATAAATTATCTTTTTATTTTAAATAAAGTTGACTTTATAAAAATATATTATGTTTTTTAATTTAATACATTTAAGAATATTATATATAATTTTTGATATAATTAATGAATATAAAATTTAAATACTATTAAAGTACTAAATTTTTATTTAACCTATTTAGAAATTTCTTTAGAAAATTAGCAATAAAATTCCAATTGATTCAGATTAATCTAAAAATTTTCTATTTAGATTGACTTTAGTTTAATTTTAGATTATAATAAAAATCAATTTAAAAATTTCAGTTAATTCATTCTAATTGAACAATAAAAATATTATACAATTTGAAATGATCAAAATTATGATTCTAAATAAATGATAAATACAATATTTTACAAATAAAAAATAATTATAAAACTTAAGAATTACAAAATAATTACAAATCTTTTAAAGAAATTGCAAAATAATTGTAAAATTCATAGAGGATTTCAAAATATTAAAAGTACAATTTTATAAATAAAAATTTAAAGTGTTGACAATTTCTAAGATAATGAAGTAATAGAAAATCTATTGATAGTTAATTAATCAATTATATATTTTGAAAATGTAGTTTCACAATCAATTTTTTTTTGTTTTCATAATCCTAATAAAACTGTTTTTATTAAATAAATCGTTAGAAATTTCATATCATAGTTAATTGGATATAAATAATGCCTATATTCATTTCAACTACCGGTAGTTGCATAACCATCTGTTAAAAATTTAAATCATGAAATTTTAAATTGCTAATTTTAGATCATTTAATTATAGATAGTCATTTTAAAGTATTTTATAATAATAATAAAAATTTTCTAATAAACTTTAATTATTCAAGATTTTACAACAAATTACAACAATAAAATCTCAAGGTAAAATCAAAGTATGTATTATATTAATGACATTTCAAAACATGAATAATGGATTTATAATTATCAAACTAGATGTTTTTAAAAATTTTCAATAGTTTCGTAATTTATTGGATAATAATATTTTGACAAAAAAAAATGAAAACGAAAAGTACTGAGAGTTGTATACTGTAAGTTTATTTATAATATATAAAATAATTATTTATATAACATCTATTTACTAAAACTTTATAATATGCATGTCTATAAAAGGATTATCGATCAAAATAAAGCTTCTTTGAGACATTATTATTACATTCTTTTTCATCAAATTCATTTATATTCATTTCATCATGATTTCTTTTCAAGTAGTTCTGTTGCAAAATGTTGTTTTCATTTTCTGTCGAAATATGATCATTTTTCTCTCTTTCAAATTCCGTAATTTCGGGAAGTTTACTTGCTTTTTCAGGAATTTCGTCGATTTGTTTTGTTTTTTCTAAATTGGTGTTGTCAATTTTCATGATTTCATTTGATACTTCTGGAGTTTTACCCATTTTTTTTGTTTGTTCTATATTGTTATCAATTTCCATGAGTTCTTGTGATATCTTTGGAATTTCGTTAATTTTTTTTGCTTGTTCTACATTGGTGTTTTCAATTTTCATGATTTCTTTTGATACTTTTGGAATTTCATCAATCTTTTTTTCTTCTTCTATATTATCGTTTTCAATTACTATGAGTTCTTCTGTAGATATTGGAGTTTCATCGATTTTATTTGCTTGTTCTATGATTTTGTCTTCTTTCATTTGATCAGCATTGATATCCATTATGTCTTGAGATTTCTCTGGAATTATGTCGATTTTTTTAGATTTAGTTTTATTGTTTTCAACCTTCATGATTATTGGAATTTCTTTTGAAACCTCGTCAATATTTTTGGTTGGTTCAACAATGATTTCTTGAAAATCATTTGCAAATTTACTATCATCCTCATTGGTATTCGACTTTACAATCTTTTCATTTTTTTCTTTGTCGGTACATAAAATCGGTAAAGAAAATCCTCTACTAGACAGCCAATCTCCAGAACGATAGTGAAGATGTAACACAGCAAGGGGGTTTAAATCAATAATTTTTGTTACAGTCGAAGGATGAATTTTCGCATCCATGGCATCAAAATCAGTAGTAAAACCAATATCCTTATTCTTAATATCAGCCGAATCTTTAATCTTCACTTGTTTAACTTCGAATTCTGGTTTATTTTGTAAAGCACTTTCATCAACAATGATACCTTTGAAAAAACAAACGGTAATAGTACCAGGTTTCCCGTATACATTTTGAATTTGCTTTGTTGAATGTTTTTTAACTGGAAAAGGGACTTTGAAAACACCATCATCTTTTTTATCAAATTGAGATGTGCTGGCGAATTTAAAGAAATAAACTTTATTCCTTTCATGATTAATGAAGTATGATCTTATTCTTGAGGTTTGAAGTTGGTGAAGTAATTGTACTTGATCAAATTGTCCATCTATATATAATCGTGAAATTATAATGTTGGAAGAGTTTGCTTGTTTAGCTTCCGTTCTTATTGTATAACGTTCTCCTGGTGTTATAACTGGAATATATGTTGTAAAGTTGCTTTAAAAGATGAAAAAGAATGAAAAGGTGGAAAATATCAATTAATTTTATTTTTTTTTTTTATTTTTTTTTATATTTTTTAATTTTAATTTTAATTTTTTTTTAAAAGAAAAAAAAAGAAAGTATCTTACCTGCATTTTTTTGTTTGTGACGATGGATCCGTAACATAAGAAAAACATGTACTATTTAACTGTTTATGATGCAAATAATGCAAAATTTAATGGTAAATTTATTTTATTTTTATTTTTTTTTTTTTTTAGAGATTAATTTAAAATAAAAAATTTCTCGTTAAAAAAAAAAAAAAAAAAAAGGAAAAAATTTTTTATAAACTTTATTGTAAACTTACATCAGATTCATCAACCGAAAGATTGTATTCCGGTAAAGGTTTCCCATTTACCAAAACTTCAAGGGAAAAATCTTGTAAATGCATGATGTTTTCTGTGCATCAATGAAAAATGTTTTTTAAATTAATTTAAAGCATGAAAATTTTGTGATATTCATTTATCCTAAAGAGGATATGATAATAATTTCTAAATTTAGTGAAATAAAACGTTTATGGCTTACCAAATGTAAATTGTAAATTGTAAGATAAAAATGACACAAAAGAGTTTTTTTTTGTGTCGGTTGAAACCTCAAAAAAATGCAAAAGTATCTTAAAGGAAAAAGATCGATACGTTATTAGCAAACAGTAAGGATTTATAAGTTTTTTTGGTCAAGTTTTTTAAGTGGCTCAGATCAATAATTGATTGGCTGAGTAAATGTAGCAAATGTGATCAATCTAACCTTATTCATTATATCCTATCCGCGATAAATGCCCACAGGCACATGATTATTTATTATACCGCCGATCATTTAATGTAAATGATTGTTCAACATAAACTTTAATGTTAAACACGAATTTGTATACGGTTTCATCGAAACCATACATTGTAACATATTACTAAGGAAGATAAACGTGTCTCTTTGACTATTAAGCTTCATTTAACGAGAACACAAATGTCTCATAGGATAAAGATATAAATGTCCATCCGCAGATACCTTCAGCCTTATCGCAGAAAATATACTGTATTCATCATGATCTTGGAAAGATGATCGACATATTTTTGATTATTTTTTTCACAACTTTAGTTGAAACTAATTACATAAATAAATAAAACCAAATATTATTGCTGCGTCACAATCAAATAAGAAAAATTGTCACATTAATATTCTTATGTAGTATTATTCGTTGTGAAGATATTAGTGAATCGTTTCACTCAAACTGACGATTTAATTTGATAATTATTTCCGGAAAAAAAAAATGTATGTTACTTGAATGGCTTGATTTTTTTAATTATTACAGCGAAAAAAAAACTTCAAGTTGATTTGAAATGGTATAGTCAATATTTATTGAAAGAATTTTGCTGATATCATTTTTTTTTTACAAAATAGAAATGACGGAAATTATTTATCGTTATAGTTATAATATTTTAAGGATCGAGGAATAGTCAAACAAATGAAACATTTGAAGCAAAAATTTTAATAAAATGAACCAAATTTTATTTTTAATCCTAATTAATCAAAATATATTTTTTTTTATTAAATAATTTTATATAGATTATTTTATTTCAATTATAATTACATTTTACATATTACATCTTTGTGTCCCTCCTATAAATACCCATTACATTCCTATATCCATCCATAATTAAAAATTAAAAAATAATATAAATTAGAAATTAATCAAAAAAATTCAAAAACTAAAAAATTAAATTAAATCTAAGAAAGAATTTAAATCTATACCATATTCTACTCTTCATATCCTAGCTTCCGACTTTGTTCGTTCGAATCTACTCTTCATATCCGTTCCGTTCCGTCCGTCCGTCCGTTACCCATCCGCTTGAGAATTTTGCATTATAAAAAATTTTCAATTAATAAAAAAATCAAAAAGGTAGACCTTAAAAAAAAAATTAAATAAATAAATAAAAATACACACCAGGAATCCGAGGTTATCCAATGTTAACCGCCCTAAAATTGGTCAGACTGTCGCGAGGGACATAACCGAAACCTTCTCAAGAATCAGTAGACCTCGAAAACAAGTCCGACGAATGGGAGTTTCGTAATAGAGAAGTTTTTCACATTAATATATGGTCCCAAAAAAAAAACCTACAAAAAGAAACTTCTGAAAAGAATAGTGATGCATTTTTAAAAAATTCAATAAAAAAATACACACCGGGGAATAATAAGTAAAATCTTCGTGAGGTGAGGTGGTGATTCTAGAGACGCGTTATTAATTTCAACTGAATTTCTAAAAATAAATTATGAGAGACGCGTTATTATTAATTTTTATAACTCATGGTTACAGATTTCTAAAAATAAATTATTGAGAGACGCGTTATTATTAATTTTTATAACTCATCATGTTTACAGATTTCTAAAAGTAAATTATTGAGAGACGCGTTATTATTAATTTTATAACTCATCATTGTTACAGATTTCTAAAAATAAATTATTTGAGTGACACGTTATTATTCATATTTTTTTTCACGATCAGAATCGTGTGAATTTGACACCCTAGGATTATGTAATGGAGCTTTCCATATTGGGCCTTTAAACCAACTGTCAAAACACACGAAATGTGTTTCTTTTTAATATTACAATTTTCTTATGTGCGAGATCACTGTTCTAGGTCCAAGTCGTTTGATGAACTATGCGTGTTCGATGTTGGCCACCTTTTTACCCGATAATGACCACTAGCTTTTTAAATATATTTTTAAAGGTCAAAAAAAAACCACTTTCTTGTTTATCTTATTTTGTAAACAATAATGTAGATGTTCATAATTTTTGGAAAGCAATTATCTAAGAATAGCACACAATTGACCAAGAAAACTTGTCGCCATCCAAGAAAAACGTGCTATTATCAAAGAAAATCAGGAAGTAGGTCCCATTTTGTCGTCTTTCTTTAAATATTCATTTTCTTTCCTTTCCCAAGTTAAAGCTGGCGACCTTGAAAACGAAAAGGTGATTTCCAAAAGGAGAAGAATATGTTAATCGATCGTGTGGCATTTTAGCATGTATCCCATCTTGCTAAACATAGCGTTGTGCTCTTGTGCTTTCTAATCTAGCGAAGAATCGAAATATTAATTAAAAAAATTTACCATGCTTTTCTAGACGATCCAATGAAGAACAGAATCTGGTTGAACGAATATCGCCTAAAATGAAAGGGAAATCATTTATTTTTAAAAAAAAACTATTTTCATTTTTGATAATCAAGGAACTAATCATCAATCTCTGATCGTGTGATTCGTTTTCTCATGTTTGAATTCGTCTCGAGTCGTTACTCAATTAAAGAAAAGCTTTGGAAAATATACTATAAAAATTTGAGTCGACTAGATAGAGTCGTATTATACAAAAATCGAGCTGGGCAGAGCCATCTTAAGCGGAGTTTTACTTGACCATTCCCTTCTCAATAAATAGATTTCGATAATTTGAAAAGTTCCTCCAATAGGATATATTCCAACGCGTTTTATTGACAAAAAAATAATTATTTATCAAAAAAAAATTTATAATTTTACATTTAGGTTACAGCTTCATATTCTTCCAAAGCAGGTAATTATAAATACATTAAGATGAACATTTTTTTTAAAAAAAGAAAAACTTCAATCATCTATGTTTCATCAAATTTCCTGTTTTTTTTTTTTAATTAGTTTCATTTATTTTTTAAATTTTTTTAAAAATTATACTTTTTAATTATTAAGTTACTATTTCGGATTGGATCGTTTAGGATGTACGAGGTATGATTTTGTTTTTAGTTAAATTTTAAATTTTTTTTTTGCTTACGAGTACGCAGCGATTAAACATATTTGAATTCCTTCTAATGATCCGACCGACAGTATTTTAATCTAAAATTTCAATTTAAATATCGTTTAAATGGATTGGTAGGAAGAATTACATTTATCATGCTTATTTAAGCTATTTTAAGTTGAAACCTAGACGAATTTGTTCAATAAATTATGTTATGATAAACTTTATATTGTCGCATTTATTAAAGTAAAGGAACAGAAAAATTATTTGTGAATATAATTAGTGTATGGGTGAATCTAAAGTTATTTTCGTATTTTCCCTTGAAATAGAAGTATATTTATTGAAAAGTAATGTTAATGTGCATTTAAAAAATTGGGACCATGTTTAAGATTACGTATTAACAGTTTATGATTTAATTTTATTGCAAAGTAAAAAAAAAAAAGATTATGAAAAATAATAATAGATGCTGAAGATTCAATTTCTATAGACATTACAAAGTATTTCAAATCATTAGAAACAAACTACTTTCTTTGGATTCCTGAAAATTTTATTTTTTTTTTATTTACATATTTGCTTTATTTTTTTGATTTATACCATAAAGAACTATTGTCAATAATCACCCTGTCACTAATCACAACCTTTTCTAATCACACCTATATTAAACCCCTTTATAATAAAAGTTTTCTCACTATTCCGTATTAAGTTTAAGCTTTTTATAAGCATACATTTAGCCTTATGGATTTTCTAATTTACCCCCATCTTTCTGATTGGTCAACATCATTTCTCATTTCTGATTGGCCGATTTTCCTTGTACATACGTCACATGACAAATTGTCATCAAAATTACATTTCATGGAGCGTCTTGTTGATTGATGAATTAAATATCCTTTTTATTGATCATTTAAAATACTTAATTGTTTTAAATGTTTTTAAACTTTTTTATTTGAATTTTTTTTTTTCACAATTTTTTTTTTAATGGAATTATTACAATAAAATAACTTGTTGGAATTTATTGATTTAACGGACTTTTGCCAAATTTCCTTGTTGGAACTTATTGATTTAACGGACTTTTTGCCAAATATCCTCATTGAAATTTATTGATTTAACAGACTTTTCGCCAAATTTCCTCATTATTCTCACGTGACAAATATAAGACATAAAATTTCGAAGCTTTTCATACACTCCTGATTTATCATATCAATACCACCAGACATTAATTCTATTTTGATATAAATGAAGAAGTTGAGGAAGCTAGTAAGGAAATTGATATGGATATAAGTGATGATGAAATTAATCTTTTTCTTGATGCTACAGATGATATTGGGAATGTGTAGGAAGGTGTTAAAGATGATAATACAATACCGGAAGGATCTAAAGAAGCAAATAGAATGAAAACTCATCATATTTCATTTGAAGAATATAAGAAATGGATAGAAAACCTTGAAAGTGCAGGACTTATCAATGTCCAACATAGAGATCCGAATCGTTCAATCCGTAGTCAAATCATCCGGATTTGACCAACTGATTACGATGATCGATTAGACGAAAATATTGACCGGTTAGTTGGTCATTTAATCGATTATCACCAACTATGAATGGATAACCGGATAATCGGATATTCAAATATTTTGGATCCATTGTTTAATAAGCATGCAACATCTAAATTAATTAAATAAAAATGAGACATTTC